TCGACAATCTAATGCTGTAAATTCTGTACAAGCAATTTTCACTTTTTCTTTGATTTTCTTTGGTATAGTCAATGTTTGCGAGGATGCATAATATTCTGTAACCTTTGTTTGTTTGTTTAAAAGAACTTTTTGCATTTTCGGCATCACTGTGACATGATCGGAAATGCTTTGCCATACTTGTTGTACCATCTTTCTGTCGATATGTTAATAAGTCCTTATAATTATCACAAATAACCATTTCTTGTTTTATTTTATTAACGACAATGAAACTAAAGTGTTCCCACACTGAAGATGATTTTGATGTTTGTTTTGGCTTTTGAAATATTACTGATTCATCCTGTTGTTTGATTAGATCGATAATTTCGTTTTTCTTGAGCAATACATTCATAATATGTAGTTTTATTTTGAATATGATTTATTAAATAATAAAATGAATCAGGATTATGATGAAGATAATGTTTATTGATGTTATGTAAATAAAAATATGCTACTGTCTTCATACATCTCTGTGTTTCTTTCTTTCACTTCACCAAAAACTATAGGCTATGATTGTGGGCGAATCGTATTTACTTATCGTTATATCATCGAAATATAGAATGCGCCAGTCATCAAATACAAAAATTAGACAAAGACACTTCATGTTTCGACTAACATGCAGCATTAAGTTCTGGTTAAGATATTTTACTCGGTATCCTAGGTATAATGGACCGGGTCCGGTTCCGGGTTAAGAAAATTCAAATAGGTCGGTTCCGGGTCCGAAATTTCTGGACCTGACAGGCTCTAGCTTGAACCCATGTATATTTCAAACTCAAATTCAACTTCCTTTTCCTGAATATATTCTCTACAACACTTTACCCAAAGCTGCATGCCAATCTGTTATTTGACCAAAAAACGACTTTTAAATTGTCCAACAAGTAGACGACGCCTAAGAAAAGGCGCTGTTTCCTCTTTCTCTAGTCAATTTTGAGCCTTTTAAAAAGTGGTTGAGGGCCAGAGCTGGAAAACATGTGATTGGCTGAATTGAGGGCTGATGAAATCCTATTCATTAAAGTCCCGATGAGAAAATCATGTAATTGACTGAATTAAGCTAGCTAAAGATCCTATTAGCAAGCATCTCATGCTTGACCTTTGACCTTCGATCTTTTGACCCCTAGGAGGCATTGCACGTAAGCCACGACCAGTTACAGCAAAAGCTTGCTCAATCGATCTCACCGATTTGGCTCATATTTCAACAGTAGATAGCCCCGATAAAGTTAGGCAGAAACTGAAAATTTCAGCTCGATCGGATGATCCATTCTGAAGATTTATGCACCCGAAGTAAGACAGGGTCAGATTTTTTGTACTTCGAGAATTTTCAGTAAAATTTTATTTTCTCAAGAACGATAAGAGCTGTAACAAAACTTTTTTCACCATTAATAGTATAGTCAATGGGCTATCGTTTGATAGTATTGAAAGTATCTCATGTTGGAAAAAAAATTCTCCATACGATCGATCTGACTCAGAAAACAGGACCTCAGTCCGTGGGACCAATTGGTCACATCAGTGAGGTGGGTGAATGTAAATTTAGTCTCATATGAAAGAGCACATCAAACTGCATCGAATGATGTGTTCAAAACTTTGTTATTTTGATTTTCAGTAACGAAAATTTTTTAAATAAAATTATGATATTTTCGAGAAAAATTTACTTGAAAGCAAAAAAGTTGTGCTTGCTATTTTTAATATATTATTTTTATAAATTAAAATATTCGTATATATTCCGGTAGCGCATGAAATTCTCTACAATCTTGAGCATAATTCTAGAATTTCACTTATTTCCTTTAAAAAATGCCAGCATAGGTAACACATCACTGTTGTCAAATTTCTCAGAAACTCATCTTTTTTTGCTTTTTATTCATTGTTTCAAACTCATTTAAACTACAGACAAACATTATTAACAAAATAAATGTGTATTTTGATGGCACGTCTAATTATGTAACATCCCATATAGTAAAAAAAGAAATAATGATAACTTAAAAATATAAAATATAATTAATTTTTGAAAGGGGAGTCTATAAAGAAAGATGAATCTTTCAGATAACTTCTATCAAAATGAGAAAAACAATATTCATATCTATTCCACGCTTTTAAACACTCATATTTCATAGTTAAAAAAAATAATATTCATTAATGCCATTTTTTTCTAATTTACTAAATGAACATATAGAGAATGAATGATAGGTGTCGTGCTAAATGCGCGGTAGCAATGTATCAAGAATATAGCAGAAATTTAGTTGAAACGTTGACCATATAGGAGTAGCTTATTTTTGAATTTAGAAATGATATTTTGATGATGAAAATGGTTAAGTTTAATTTTTTTGGTGTAATCTTTTCATTTGTCGGTAGCATGGAATAACCGTTAATATGCTTTATACATAGTTTAGTTATCTGGTTGTATTAAGTTATGATAATTCCTCGTGAGATAACCAGATTATATTTTGTTCGAACTGCTTTTGGCGATAACGCTGCAGTTTTGGGTTCTTCTCAAGAAGTTGTTTCTGTTTTTAATTGTATTTACAGACTCATTTTGTTCCATCATCATGCTTCAATGAGTTAAAAAGCTTTTTTTTCTAGAACTGTGCTGTTTTGTCGTCGTTTAAAGCTGAATGGCTGTCGGGATCGAAGAGAACATAATGGAAGAAATGAGCGAATGTTGCTTATATGATGAACTAGGTTCATGCAGCTCGTACATGTCAAAGAGTAGGTGAAATTCCATTTTTGAGACAATTTCATTTTGCATAGTTCTAATAGGATTGAACACTTGGTCTACTGAGATAGTTAATTTAAATGATTTAAAAGATAGTTCGGTTGGTTATTTAGTTCAAATTGGTGTTATCTCAAAGTTTAACCAAGGTTCTTATGAAATCTCCGAATGTAATATAATTCTTAATCGATTATCAAGTTATATTGACATTGAAAAACCTTACTTGAAAATCTGTAAGTGTCTTCATAGGGTTGTTATTTTACAAAAACATAACGAGATTTAAGCTAAGCTGTATATTGTTTGCTTTATTAATAAATATTTTAGGTTCACTACATCGATATACATTTGGAATCGGATGGAGGAATAACACGGCTTGTGCACATTTGGATCACAAAGATTCTTTTGCTATCAAAAAAAGAAAAAGAAATTCATCGTCAACCAACCGCATTTTACCGTTTCATTTAGTTCGCCACACGACACAATTTCCTTATGGCGGTCGTATTTGTGGAATTCATCTAAGAGAAATCTATTCAAGAATAAAAGAACAGCAATCAGCAGCTGATGAATTCAATACTTTATCCGAAATGCATTCTTATGAAATTCAAGTCCACAAGAATCGTGAACTTGAAAATACAAATACATTACTTATGTCATGGAACCAAAGTCCAATACACAGCCAAACAACAGTTCCATTAGAAGATCAAGAACCTAGTTCTATTCGACGTTTAACAGCCAAGCTCCGTCGAACTGTTTCTATTGCAGGTAGTCGCTTTTATCAATAAGAGATCGTTTTGCTAATGCAAGATTGTACTATATTTCAGCAGCAAATGTTGCTGAAAGCATTGCACCAGGACAAGGTGAAATGCTGCTTCAATTAGCAAATCTAGATAATATTAGTAAACAACAAATATCAAATACGTTAGTGCCATCTAATACACAAATCGACGAACAATACCTTGATTATTTAATAAAAATGTACAAATCATACGATGAAAATAATTTACCTTTCAATGAGCAGGTACGTGTATTAACACTGATACCAAAATCATGGAATTTATCAAGTACAAATATTCAAAAAGAATTTAATTGCTCACGTCATGCTGTTAAAATATCTCGTCGATTACGTAAAAATACTCATATACCATTACATATTGAAGAGAAAATGTACGAAATTAAATATTTATATATATTGTTCTTTCATCTTGACAAATGCAGTGTTTATTTAGACCAAAAGTTCGGCAACGTCTTGATCCAACAAAACTTGACTATTTCTTAAGTTGGATCATTGAAACTAATTTACTTATATCTATACCATGGGGAAGTACGAGTTTAAAACTCGATAGTGGTGATAAAATTTCTATACCGCAACAAATGTTACAAGCACAACAGAGTCAAATTGTTCATTTGTATAAAGAACATTGTAGTGAAGTTGGTATTGACTCAATGTCTGATAGAACAATATATACTATACTAGAAAGTATACATGCTAGTGAACAGAAATTTGTTTCTGGCATTGATGAATTCGTTAAAGCTGCATCAGAAGGTTGGGCACTTTTGCAGCAGATAATTCAAAAACTACCAATACAACGTCAAAATAAACATGATATGAGTATTATGTTAGAAACTAGTAAATTATATTTAAAATCAAAATATGCAGTTCATTGCAGTGAAGATGAACAGACAAAAACTCATTGCAGTGTATTTGCTTTGAGCAAAGAAAATGATACTTTTTATTCACAGGCATGTAACCATACTCATGGCACTTTTTGTCAAGGTATAAAATGCAGAGAACTTTCTTCTATCAATCTAAAAACATCGTTCTCTAATTTGCTGACGTTTTTATTTAGATTGCATCTTAATTGCTGAACTTTTTGATCAAATCGAAAATTCTATACACACTATCGTTGACAAAGAAGCAAGAGATGAATTATTGTACGATTTAACATTAGTGTGGGAGAGTATTTTTCAATTAATGGGTCATCGCATACGAGCTGTTCAACAAGAGCAGCAAAAAAAAAAGTACATTGAGGAAATGGATGCTACAACAGCTTTTTTAACTGTGGATTGGTCACAAAAAATTTTACCTCAACAGTTTAAAGAAGGACAGAGCTCTTATTTTGGAAAACGTGGTATGAGTCTTCTTGTCGGCTCCTTTGCTTTTAAAGAGGCATTATCAAGTAAGAAATATTATATAAATGCACAATTTATACCCAAAGTGTTATTGTATTGATTAATATAGCTGAAACAATATCGAAGACGTATATGCTTGCTTTAACAAGCTGTTGTCAAAACGAACACACAACGCTTTGTGCTGCACAAATAATTCTTCAACAATTTCACCATGATTATCCACATATGTGAGTCAGTTGTTCCTTTAGGATACTTTTTTCGTGAATATATTGATCGAAATTCCATTTTTATTAATATATTTAAGTGTAAAACTGATAAAACGATCAGATAATGCATCGGTATTAGCTGGTCAATCTACAATACAATGCGAGAACTTTTTTTCTAATAGTCTTGGAATTAAGTTATTAATGCGAGACTATTCAGAGATTCAATGTGGAAAGTCTGTATGTGATAGAATGTCTGGATCTGCAAAGTTACGTATGAGAGCATATATCAATGCCGGTAACGATGTAGAAAGTGCATTTGAAATTAAAAAAGGTAAACAAAAGTATATCCTTAAATTGCAACTACTTTTATTTTCTACTCTGACAGCATTTGAATATGGAGGGGGTATTCAAAATTTAAAGATAGGTGTTGGAGAAGTTTCCGAAATAAATGAAGTATCACCAGCAACACGAATATCTGAACTAAGCTCAATTCGAAATATCATCTACAATGATACGAACATAATTTTACGAAAAGCAGTTAGTTGTTCTTTTGTTAATATTTTTGAACTATCATCCATATTAAAGCTAATTCGAAAGTTAACGATGAATTTTTTTTTAGAGTGGAATAGGAATTGGACGAACGATTGACTACGAAGATTATAACATTACACCAAATGTAACATTAGTTAGTTCTTTCGAAAAATATGACTCCTCTCAAAAGGTTTTAACAACGATAACGAAAACCAAGAGATCTGATCGAATGTTTAAGACACTTGTCTTTTGTCCAAATGAATCTTGTATTGATACATTTGAAAAAGAAGAAGATTTGAACGTGCATATTTTATTGAATCAGCATACAATTAAAAGAAGTTCTTTTCGGTCAACAGATAAAGCCAAGCTGATGTTATTTGAGAAAATCAAAAATGATAGCACATCACCTTCAACATTACAATCAACAGCAACGACAACTGTTTTAACTAATATACCTCGTCATTACAAAGTATTTGCCATGCAAGGTTGGGCACTTCGTGCAAGAAAGCCGGCAAAATCAATTGATAAAGCTGTCAAGGAGTTTATAAAATCTATTTTTGAAGAAGAGAAAATTTATGGTAAAAAGCGTACTGATATATATAATGATTAAAAAGCCAATAGTTTATATTAATTTTATAATATTTCAGGAAGAAAAACACCTGTTGAAGAATATGTAACACGTATAAGAACTGCTCGTAATAATGATGGAACCAAGAAATTCAATCCCAGCCAGTATTTAACCTATAACCAAGTGAGTCAGAAACATTAACGATTAACTTATATAATTTTGCTCCTAATTATGTAGGTTCAAAACCAAATAAAAATGTTGTCTAAAGTACCAAGAATCAAAAAAGTTTCAAATACAAAAACAACAATCGATAATAATATCGTCCAAGGTAAGTGACAAAATCAATACTCATCTTACAAGTTTAAAAAAATTCCATTTCAAATAGCAAATCGATTGACGCAACCAAAAACACGCGCCATTAAAAAACAAGCAATACTATTTGATGATGAAACCTCGGATGACGACGAAGAAGAAGATGAACGAGCAGTAAAAGCAGCAACACGATTAGAAAATTTTAGAAAAACAATTCTTAATGATGATTTGTAATTTTTTTGTACTATACTTCTGCTACAGTGAAAATTCGAAGTTCTTTTATATTCGACTTTTATAGTATAAATATTGACCAGTATGAATTATGTGAAATACACTTTTCGTTTTACTGATATAAAAAAACGGCATTAATGAATATTATTTTTTTAACTATGAAATATGAGTGTTTAAAAGCGTGGAATAGATATGAATATTGTTTTTCTCATTTTGATAGAAGTTATCTGAAAGATTCATCTTTCTTTATAGACTCCCCTTTCAAAAATTAATTATATTTTATATTTTTAAGTTATCATTATTTCTTTTTTTACTATATGGGATGTTACATAATTAGACGTGCCATCAAAATACACATTTATTTTGTTAATAATGTTTGTCTGTAGTTTAAATGAGTTTGAAACAATGAATAAAAAGCAAAAAAAGATGAGTTTCTGAGAAATTTGACAACAGTGATGTGTTACCTATGCTGGCATTTTTTAAAGGAAATAAGTGAAATTCTAGAATTATGCTCAAGATTGTAGAGAATTTCATGCGCTACCGGAATATATACGAATATTTTAATTTATAAAAATAATATATTAAAAATAGCAAGCACAACTTTTTTGCTTTCAAGTAAATTTTTCTCGAAAATATCATAATTTTATTTAAAAAATTTTCGTTACTGAAAATCAAAATAACAAAGTTTTGAACACATCATTCGATGCAGTTTGATGTGCTCTTTCATATGAGACTAAATTTACATTCACCCACCTCACTGATGTGACCAATTGGTCCCACGGACTGAGGTCCTGTTTTCTGAGTCAGATCGATCGTATGGAGAATTTTTTTTCCAACATGAGATACTTTCAATACTATCAAACGATAGCCCATTGACTATACTATTAATGGTGAAAAAAGTTTTGTTACAGCTCTTATCGTTCTTGAGAAAATAAAATTTTACTGAAAATTCTCGAAGTACAAAAAATCTGACCCTGTCTTACTTCGGGTGCATAAATCTTCAGAATGGATCATCCGATCGAGCTGAAATTTTCAGTTTCTGCCTAACTTTATCGGGGCTATCTACTGTTGAAATATGAGCCAAATCGGTGAGATCGATTGAGCAAGCTTTTGCTGTAACTGGTCGTGGCTTACGTGCAATGCCTCCTAGGGGTCAAAAGATCGAAGGTCAAAGGTCAAGCATGAGATGCTTGCTAATAGGATCTTTAGCTAGCTTAATTCAGTCAATTACATGATTTTCTCATCGGGACTTTAATGAATAGGATTTCATCAGCCCTCAATTCAGCCAATCACATGTTTTCCAGCTCTGGCCCTCAACCACTTTTTAAAAGGCTCAAAATTGACTAGAGAAAGAGGAAACAGCGCCTTTTCTTAGGCGTCGTCTACTTGTTGGACAATTTAAAAGTCGTTTTTTGGTCAAATAACAGATTGGCATGCAGCTTTGGGTAAAGTGTTGTAGAGAATATATTCAGGAAAAGGAAGTTGAATTTGAGTTTGAAATATACATGGGTTCAAGCTAGAGCCTGTCAGGTCCAGAAATTTCGGACCCGGAACCGACCTATTTGAATTTTCTTAACCCGGAACCGGACCCGGTCCATTATACCTAGGATACCGAGTAAAATATCTTAACCAGAACTTAATGCTGCATGTTAGTCGAAACATGAAGTGTCTTTGTCTAATTTTTGTATTTGATGACTGGCGCATTCTATATTTCGATGATATAACGATAAGTAAATACGATTCGCCCACAATCATAGCCTATAGTTTTTGGTGAAGTGAAAGAAAGAAACACAGAGATGTATGAAGACAGTAGCATATTTTTATTTACATAACATCAATAAACATTATCTTCATCATAATCCTGATTCATTTTATTATTTAATAAATCATATTCAAAATAAAACTACATATTATGAATGTATTGCTCAAGAAAAACGAAATTATCGATCTAATCAAACAACAGGATGAATCAGTAATATTTCAAAAGCCAAAACAAACATCAAAATCATCTTCAGTGTGGGAACACTTTAGTTTCATTGTCGTTAATAAAATAAAACAAGAAATGGTTATTTGTGATAATTATAAGGACTTATTAACATATCGACAGAAAGATGGTACAACAAGTATGGCAAAGCATTTCCGATCATGTCACAGTGATGCCGAAAATGCAAAAAGTTCTTTTAAACAAACAAACAAAGGTTACAGAATATTATGCATCCTCGCAAACATTGACTATACCAAAGAAAATCAAAGAAAAAGTGAAAATTGCTTGTACAGAATTTACAGCATTAGATTGTCGA